TTGGGCCTTTGGGCCCATGGCTACCATAAAGAGGCTTGAAACAGAACCTATGGACTAAGGAAAGGAGCAATCAGCCGTAAAGTTTCCTATTTAATTACTCTGTAATTTATTTTATTTTAGAAAACCATGGATTAAGGTTTTTATTATAATTTATTGCCTTAATTGTATGATTGGATGATTTATATGATTGATAACATGCTTTATTGCGATAACATGCCATATAGAATAAGTGGTGCCATATTGTAGCATAACTTGTATGATTACATGAGCATAGTAGCTATTATGTCTTCAGCGACTAGTATGATAGTTATTATGGGATTATTTTGATTTTAAATTATCCTAAAAAATTAATTAATGATTATTATGATTTTTGTTAAAAATCTAAATTAATAATTGAATTAATTAATTTTGGATAATTAACATCTAGACAAATAATCGTTATGGAAATTATTTTGATTTCAAATTATCCTCATAAATGATAATTATTATGATTGTTGCAATCTAGATTAATAATTAAATCAAATATTTGGATGATTTAAAATCTAGAAAAATAATTAAGAAAATTTCCTAAGAGAATAATTTATTTTGCGAGTATTTTGTGGGTCTACTAAAATGGTCATGTGTTAAACACACGCTGCATACCACAATCATGTAACATGATTGTGTGAAGCACACGCTGTCTATCATAACCGGATTTTAGGACCTTAAGGATTTCAAAATTCATATAAGTTAAGTGATGCACGTTCATCGGCGCTCTTGCTTACACAGTTTTTGAAATCAAACAAAGGATACTCTTAATTAAATAATTCTTGGAAATTGGAAAAATTGCTTATGTTGAACAGAAGGAGATTTAAATTAAGAAATTAATTTACTTCAAGCGCATTATAGGACCATTAATAAAATAATCATGTGAAGTCCCATCGAATAAGCATGATTGGATTTTATTATATTGGACCTAAATAATTAAGGGAGGAGATTTAAATTAAGAAATTAATTTAACCTACAGGCGCATTGTGGGCCTATCAATGAAATATTCATTTGAGGCCCCAACGGATAAGCATGATTGGATTTTATTAGGCCTTAATAATTTTAAAATTTTAATAAAGTATTGTACAGCCCAACGTCGACAATACTAAGTTATTAAAGATAGTTTTGAAATTAAATAATAAATTCAACTAAGCTTATAAATTCTCAAAACAAAAATATTGAATGGGTGAATGTTTTAAAATTAATTAATTAATTTTAAAACCTGCAGGCTCCATTTGTGGGTCCATTAATAAAATGGTCATGCGAAGCCCCAACGGATAAGCATGACTGGATTTTATTTGATTGGACCTTAATAATTTCAAAAAAATTGTAAAGTATTGTACGACCCAACGTCGGCAATGCTTAGATACTAAAGATAATTTTGAAATTAAACAATGGTTAACTACATTCAACTTTGGTAAAGTTATTAACCCTCCCAACGAGGCTCTGGTAATGGCACCGAATGCCCAAATAACAATTTTAGTTTTTACAAGTGACTTGCCCAACGTAAGCCTTGTAAAGATAAACTAAAGGATTGTTAACAATAAACAAGAGTAGTTATGAGAATCTACTTGTACTTCAATTGTTTATTGCATTATTTGTTTGTAATTGTGTGCTTTATATGTTTTTCAGAAAATATCTTAGAAATGATTTTGAGTCAAAAACCTCTAGATGGTACCAACTAAGTGAAAAATAATTTTTAATATTGTTCTAAAACATGAAAGATAAAATTTGTCCTGACAGTACAAGGGCCATAGCAACCTGCAAAGGATGTGTCTAAGGACGCAAAACTCAGATTGGAAAAGGACGAATATGGTAGTTCGCTATTATGTCTTTGTCAGTCTTTCCAAACACTTGCATTAGCAAATGCACATGGTTAAGAGTGGAGTAGAGATGCTCCAGACTCTTAATGACATGTTTGCTGTGTCTAGCAGCTCTTCTAAGCAGAATGCAGTCAACGCAGGTTTTGCTAAAAGTCTTGTTAAATCCAAGGAAAAACCCAAGGAAAAACCCAAGGGTGGTAACAAGAACAAAATAACTTGGTGATCAGTTGTCAAACCAGTTGCTATGAAGAAGCCGCAAGGCAGGTGATTCAAGAGCAGACTAAAGGGACACTGAAAGAAAAATTGCTCAGAGGTGATGAAAAGAACCAGACATGGGCATATCAAGGCCTGATCAGTGAATGAATTATTGATTCAGGAATCACTGATTATGTTTATTACTCTTTGCAGTAGTTCAAAATGGCATACCTGTCAGCAATGGACATAAATATTTTAAGCTTGAAAATGGGAACTTGTGTCTGCATTTGTAGTAGGACAAGTTATTTATAAGATTATGGTTTTGGGTGACTGTTTATTTGTTCCAGATTTCAGGAGGAATTCAATTATTGTTAGTTGTTTTGGTTAAAACATGGTTTGACAATGCAATTGATTCCTTAGTTACATTTCGGAGTTCATCTTCGTCTTGTTTGTTCTGGTACATTGTTCAAATAGTCTTTATTACCTTTGTCATATACCCCTAAATTTATTGTGTTGAATGGAAAGGATGATGAACAAGAACTTTCACTAAAGAAATTAAAGTTTCAAATGAAACATATTTTTGGCTTTTATGATTGAGTCAGATTACCTCAAATAGGAAACATGATTTAGTTAAAAGAAGGACTGAAAGTTCAAGAATCTTTTAACTAAAAGCTACATGTTGGTCCTATTTGGAAGGTAAAATGGCCAAGCAATCCTACAAGGGGCCAAAAAGATTTGCGCAGCTATTCAACTGGAACTGGTTCATACTAATGTATGTGGACCAATTAGCGTTCAAGCCAGAAGATGTGATGAGTATTTCATTATATGAATGTTTACTCTGGATTTGGACAGATCAACCAAGTGCGCCATAAGTCTAAAGCTTTTGGAAATTTCCAAGAGGTTTAAGTCTGAGGCAGAAAAGCATGTAGGTGTTCAAATCAAAACACTTTGGTTTGACTAAAGTGTTGGCTACCTGTCTGGTAAGTTCAGGTCTTACCTAATTTAAGAGAGGATAGTTTTATAACTGTCAACTATAGGAATGCATTAGTTGAATGAAATTGAAGTATGCAAAAATCAAACATTTCTAGATTTGGTGAAGATCATGTTCAGTTATTCATCTTTGCCAATGTTGTTCAAGGGAGATGCCTAGGAGAAGGAAATGTACCTTCTTAACTTGGTTCCATCAAAGTTTGTTGTAAAGACACCTAAGGAATTATGGAAAGGGTGCAAGCCCAGATCAAACCATATTCGGATTTAGGGTGCTACGGCACACGTCCTACAATAGCAGTCAAATAAGATGGAATCTTGTATGGAAGAGTGCATATCTTTTGGCTACCCTAAGGGGGCGTTTGATAGGCCGATTCTTTGTGATTTCCTTGGATTCTTGGGGTCGGTAAACTGAAATACAGCGTTTGGTAAACACAAAATGGTTCATAATCCCGGGGATGTTGAAATCTTAGGATTTCAAAAGCAACGTAAATTTTTTCAATATCCCAACAAAAAAATCCCACGGATTATATGGATTTGTGTGTTTCCCAGGGAAAGAAAAAATTAACCGCGAAAAAATAGACTGAAATAACCCTCTGACTTGTACTTGTTTTGCAGGAACTGTGCAATATAAGAAGAACTTCGCGCCTTATTACTCCATAGGATTTGTCGCTCACAGCCATTTCCTCTCTATAGGTGGTCGAATCCGTGCAAAGGTTCAAGCTTCAAGCTTCGAAATCTCAATTTGTTTGTGTCTGTGTCTTACTTCGTTGAATGGCTTGCATGTTTGTTTAGGGTGATTCTTAATGTATCTCCATAAACTCGTCTAGTGTCTGTTGTCGTTTTGCATTTCTCCTCTTTCATTTTTCATTACCCCTTTGTCATCTGCATTCAGATCTAATAAGTTTACACTTCTTCTCTGTAGTATTTTAATGATTTTGCTGAAAGTAGCTTATTTGCACGCATACTTCGATGAGAGATTTGTATTTGTGATCTGTTTAGATGGACACATGTGTGGTCCTTGACACAATATGATTTTTGTTGCTGTGACAGGTTATAAGTTTTAGGCATACGAAATACCGGTTGTCAAAGCTGTTGAAGAGGGGCAAAATTCTGAGGTAAAATTTTTTGGAGGCTATATTGTTATTTTAGATGTATCCAGAAAGTTATGTTTGTCGTTTATTTAGTAAATGGTTCCTTGTCGCATTGTTATTTGTGTTTTATTTTATTTTAAATCATTGGCTTAAGTGTGATAAACATCGACAACCAAAAAAATTTCTAATATACGATTTGCTTAAGGTAGCTACTAAGTTGTTAGGTGAACCATGTTCCAGCCTATTTTTGTTTCATTTTTGTGCATTTTATAATGCCTATATATGATTATATTTCTACAAGATGCATATATGAGGTTTTGCCTTCATTAATGTTGGAAATAAATTAGTCAAAACTGTTGTTTCTTTTTTTATAATGAAACTTGTGCTTAACGGTTATAGTTTAGGGGACACTATCAAGAAGCAGTGTGTCTATGTTGGAAATAAAGTATGCATGTACATTTTGTTCTGATTTTGTTTTCAAATGATATTGATATGTGGATTAATGTCAATTAATTTCTTGCTGTTGTGTTAGCTTGTTGCCATGAACAACGGAATGGAGTTCAGTGTGATTGTTGTAGTCATATGTCATTTGGAATCTTTGAATCAAATGACATTGTTGTTATTGAGTTTATGTCGTTTGATCTTAGCCGATATTGAAAAAAGGAAAATTGCTAGGAAGAGATTGACATGGAATTTTTACAAAAGAGCTAGGATGAGGGAAGTTAATATACATAGAATTGTGTATATTACTGACACAGCTTGTATTGAGAATACAAGGATGGATAAGAGATGTTTTCATAATTTGTGTGAGTTACTTAAAACTGTTGGGATGCTTGAACCGTCCAAGGACATGGGTGTAGAAGAGGTGGTTGCAATGTTTCTTCATATACTGGCACATGATGTTAAAAATCGTATAATTAAACGACAGTTTATGAGGTCTGGTGAAACTATAAGTAGACAGTTCAAGAAGGTGTTGCATGCGGTGTTGAGATGTCATACTGTTTTGCTAAAACGGCCTGAGCCCGTCCCCGATAACTCAACTGATCTTAAGTGGAAATGGTTCAAGGTATAATATTATAATACTTTTTCATGATTAACATGTACAAATTTTTGGTAATTTTGTATTGACCTCTCTTGTACATTGATTATCTGGATTGTAAGAATTGTCTTGGAGCTCTAGATGGGACCCACATCAAGGTAAACCCCCTGCAAGCTGATAAGCCTAGATACCGGAATAGGAAAGGTGATATAGCAACAAACGTTCTAGGGGTTTGTTCGCAGGATTGTCAATTTATTTATGTGTTGGCTGGATGGGAGGGATCAGCTGCAGACTCACGAGTCCTCAGAGATGCGATATCTCGTACGAATGGTTTAAGGGTGCCAAAAGGTAATAAAAAGGGCCATTTAAGTATTTCATAAATGAATATGTAGTCGTAAGTGTATTACATTGATTATAATTTGTTGGTTGATTGTGCATAGGTTATTATTATTTGTGTGACGCTGGCTATATGAATGGGGAAGGATTCCTAACACCTTATAGAGGGCAACGATACCATCTTAGTGAGTGGAGAAATGGGGCCCAACCAACCACACCGCATGAATTTTTCAACATGAAACACTCAAGTGCGAGGAATGTCATCGAAAGATGTTTTGGGATGTTGAAGGGTCGTTGGGCCATTGTACGATCAAAGTCCTTTTACCCGATTAAGACGCAATGTAGGATTATTACTGCATGTTGCTTGCTTCATAATCATATACGAAGAGAAATGCCAATGGACCCAATAGAGGAAGAAATGGTAGACATTCATGACGCTGAAGATAACTTCGAAGGGTGTGACATGATAACCCATGTGGAGTCATCTAATGCTTGGACACGTGGACGTGATGAAATGGCTCAGCATATGTTTGACACGTGGAGGAATAGTGTTTGATTTTGTTATTTGTTATGTCATTGTGACTGTTATTCGCATACTTTATGTATACTTGGTGAGGCTGCCAAGACTTGAATTAATGTACTGTTTTCAACTTGTGATATGTAATAGTTAGCATGTCCCATTATGTAATGTATTACATATTATTGTCTCAATTTCTGTATTGTTTTTCCCGAAAGCAGAACTGTTTTTAATGCTTTGTTGCAGATGGCTGAAGAGAATACTCAAACCCAGAAACGAGTGAATCATACTTGGACAGCTGAAGAGGACAAGATCCTAGTAGATTGTCTTCTCGAGGCAGGTCCAGCTTGGAAAGGTGATAATGGTTTTCGGGCTGGATTCCCTATTCATATAGAGAAGATGATGCAGCGCATGCTGCCTGGATGTATCCTTAAAGCAAATCCTCATATCACATCGAGGATTAAACTCCTGAAAAAACACTATAACGCAATCTCTGAAATGACCGGGACCAATGGCGGATCTGGCTTTGGTTGGAATGAGAGAGATCAGATGATTGAAGTGGACAAAGAAATATTTGCAGATTGGGTTAAGGTGAATTATTGTATATGTTTATTATGTAAATTGATTTGATTGACATTATATAATTCTGTACCAATTATAACAACATGCTTTTTGAATTTTTTTTTAGTCACATCCAAATGCGAAAGGGTTGTACAAGAAGCCATTCCCCTACTTCCATCAATTGGGTCCAATTTTTGGAAAAGATATGGCCACAGGAAATCATGCTGAGGGTGCCCAAGATGCTGCTTCACACATGGATACAGAAGCTGCATTATTTGCTGAGAGTGGGACTGGATATGATGATATCTATAATCTTCTTGGTGACGATACACCAACACCTAATTGGGAGCCTCCATTGCCTGAGACTATCACAGAAGAAGGGGCTGTACATTCTCCAGTGTCTGTTTCGGTTACAAAAAGGGGTAAGAAAAGAGGTAGATGTGAGGATCCCCTGCCTAGTGAGGTGACTGTTGCAATTAATGACCTTAGCCAGAATTATGTTGCCACTAATGATAAATTAGACAAGTTGGTATCTTGCTTTCAGCATCAGGCAGAGGGAAGCAACCGAAGGATGTCTATTCTGCAAGAGTTAAAAAAAAATTGAACAGTTGAGTGTTGAACAAAGGGTTCAAGTTGGAATGCTTATGGGCAAGGATCCCCTAATAACAGATGTCTTCATGCAAGGAAATGATGAGGAGAGGCAGTACATAGTGGCCTCTTTATTGTATAAATCTTAGTGTTTGTCCACTGATTTTTTTTTGGAGTTCACTATATCTATTAATATAATTTTGGTGGTGATCAATATTTTGGGAAGTCTGGCTCAAGGGATATTTTTTTGAAAGCACTTTATGAAGTCAATGTCATGAGAGGAAAAGGCTTTTTGGAGTTCGAATGGTAACTATTACCACGACAGGCACGAACCTGGTATGATCTTATTCACATGTTTGATGGCATATGTATAACTGTAAAACTTGATTATGCTTATACACAATTATTGGGGTCTGTAATTTGTTGTGCCTGATTTTAACTACTTTCAGAGATGTTTTCGTGAATTTAGTTGTGGCACATTTTAAAGTGAGGTTCTTTTGCATTGCAGATCATAAATGCAGGAGAAGAATATGGTCCTTATAAAAGCTTAATGACTTCATAGTGATATTACAAGAACGAATGGATGCATTTATGACTCTCAATGGAAATTTGCCTTCTTGGTTTTTTTGTAATGCACCTGCTGTTGTTATATAAGGATACTTTGGATAGTATATCTTTGTAATCTTATTACTATGTCTGATATGAATTCTAAACCTTATAATGTGAAATGATTTTATCAGCAAATTTTCTCGAGCTTGGCCTGTAGATAACTTCATATTGAATGGATGTATTACTTGATATTCATCGTGATGTTGTCATGTGTTATTGAATGAGTACACATAGGTTTGATGGCATGTGCTGAACGCATAAAAATTGACTCAGGCCAATTTTTTGGGTGGACCTATTCATTATGAAGGATATGAGTAGACCCATTGATGTTTAGATTGGTTAAAATCTATAAGTCATACATTTGTTTTTGTTCAGTAAGTTGGTGTATATATCCAACTCCAAAGGATATGAGTGTAAAATTACGGTACCGAAGTAATGCAAGTATTATTCTGCATTTTTTATTAGATGAGTTCAAACACATGTCAATTTTCTTCTATCGTCAAATGTCGATTTGATCAGATATTATTGCTGAGTTCCGAGAAATATCTTGCTTGTTTTTGTCATGAATTGTCTTACCGAATGACATGGCCCTGCCTATTATAAGGTCCACCTGTTATTTTTTTAATACTGAAAATTGCCATTTGCAACTTTTGGTGTATGGTGCGCATAACACTTGCTGTTTTTTTTTTTAAATACTACTTATCTTACTGTTGATCATGTAGCTTAAGTGCTCAACAATGATTTGTCATAGTTTTACTCAGTAATATAGGGGTAATTAAGCATGTCAAGTTCACAGCATATCAAAGGTAATATTGTATAAACATTACCTTATATTTATGAATTTACACTTTGATATATTTTTATATTTATATTAAAAAGTTTTACATAATTAAAGTTTATTTCAATCACTCAGCATTTTTTTTTTACTTTTAGTTTTCTTTTACATAAAAGATTTTTTATGTACCATTATGGGCATAAAAGCGACTTTCTCACAGGCTTGTTTTGGTATCAAGTACTGAGCAAGGTTGAACGTTGTGATAGGATATGAACGATGTAAGAAAATGGAAAAAAAATTAAAAGGAGGGTACATTTGTAAATTCAACCCAAAATCCCACTAAAATTTTACTATCAACCAAACATGGTAATGTGAAAATTCATCAAATATTCCCACAAATATTTCTGCATACCAAACACCTTTTTGCAAACATTCCCGGAAAAGTTGTTTTTCAATTATATTCCCAGACATCATGATTCCCGGATAAAAAAAAATATTCCCTCTATCAAACGCCCCCTAAGAGAACGAGGGATGATTTCTTAATTAGTCTTAAGGACAAGATAATCTAAGTGAGCAATCACATGATTTTCTTAAAGGAGGACTAGATAAGAAATTATAAGCTCTTAAGTAAGGTTATTCTTGATGAGATTTATCTCAGAACAAGAATTTCCAGAATCTTTAGAAGCTTCATCCACTGTTCCCTTGATTGTTCAAGAGGGGATGAATATATCTCTAGGTGAACAAACAAGAGAACCGTAATTGGAAATTCAACATGATAATATATAAGTGAAACTAGTAGAAATATTAGTATCACATGTGGAGGAATAATATCAAGAATAATTGGATCCTCAAGAAATTGAAGATCCACCATTTGACCCACTCTTTGTTTTACCTATAAATACACAAGGTCTAGTGCAGTACATTCGTAGTGGGAGTGAACCTTGTTAACTCTCGAGTCGTCTCTTGTTGAGTGACATTGATCCTACTAGTTACGATAATGCACTAGAAGATGTTGTTGATCAAGTGTTGCTCAAGCTATGAACAATGAGATGAAATACTTGTATTTCAACTCCGTTCGGTCCTAGTAAAGACACCAAGAGGGGTAAAATCCACTAGGTGCATGTGGACATAAAAGGCAAAGAGAGGATGGACAGGAAGGTGAAAACCTTTAAAGCTAGCTTGGAGGAAAATTTTGCCAGATGCCATGCTTGAGTCTATCCAGATTCTCTTAGTTGCTACTATAAGTCTCAATTATGAGATTTAATTTTGGGAGTTGGATATCAGGATATCAGCATACAACAACCAAAAGGGTTTATAGCAAATGGGCATAAACACATGGTATGCAAGTTGTGAAAGTCTACTTCATGGACTTAAGCAAGCATCCAGGTCTTGGAACATCAGTCTTTGATCACGTTATCAAAATTGTGATTTTGAGAGAACCTTGATGAATGTTGTGTATTTGTATGTAAAGAATTCAATGGAAGACAATAGTTTTTCTGGTACTTTATGTAGATGATATGCTCCTTATTGAAAAAACACATGGAGGTAATATCAAGCATAAAGACTTGGCTAAGTTAGTGTTTTGGTATGGAAGTACTGGAAAAGCCAATTATATTCTTGGTATAAAACTCTTATAAGACCAGAAGAATAAGTTGTTGGCATCACCTCAGACTACTTACATTGACAAAACTCTTGCCAAAATTCAACATGAGAATTCTAAGAGAAGAATTATAATTCTCAGATGTGGAATTCATCTTCCTAAGGAGTAACCAAAGACTTCTGAGAAGGAAGAATGCATTAGCAGGATATCTTATACTTTGGCAAAGGTAGTCTCATGCATGTCATGTTGGGCGTTAAACCAGACATCTGTCACGCAATGGGAGTAGTGAGATGGTACCATTCTGGATATAGAGGAACACTAAGACTATTGTTAAGCATGTACAAGGAAGCACCGACACTTGTAAAAACAGGAAGAGTCGGGTCCGACACCCTCCGACACGGCGACACGCTCCGACACGCTCCGACACGGTGTCGGACACGCGGTTGACTTTTTCCGACACGTTGACCATTCCGACACGCGAATTTGACCGTGTCCGACACGGTCAAATGGCATTTTCGTAATTTTTTTAATTTTTTTTAATTTTTTTTAAAAAAAAATTATTTTTTTAAAAAGTTAAAATATATTAATAAAGCTTCCACCTGATCATATCAATTTTATCTTTTTGTCTTTTTTCCCCTTAAGTAGATAAGAGATCATCTCAGCATCATTGTTGTCAATTCCTATCACGCTCTTGTTGTATCTTCTTCTCTCTGATCTCTCTCTAATATGATTTGATCTCTCTATCTGATATTATATCTCTCTCTCATCCCAGTTCTTATTTTTTTTATTAAAGCTTTCATCTTTATAACGTGTTTATGGGTATTATTAATTTAGTTTCATTTTTTTGTTAAATTATTAAATATTAAATGAAAAATACACTATATAAATTAAAAATATTATTTAATATTAAAACGTGTCTCAACGTGTCGAAATCCATAATTTTTTAGGATTGATGTGTCGTAGTGTCGTGTCGTGTCACGTGTCGCGTGTCGTATCGGTGCTACATAGAGCATGTACTCAAGTATCTTTGGAGAACGAGAGATTATATGCTGGTATGTTCTAGTGGGAGTCTTGAAAAGCTGGGTTTTCACAAATTCAGTTATTTCAAGTGGATATTGACTCAAGAAATCAACCTCGAGCTATGAGTTTTTCACTAAACTCAAATAGCATTAGAGGTGGATCTTGTAGACCCAGTTACTAAGAGTTTGCCTGAACTTGTGTTCGAGAGGCATGTTTCTTCTTTGGGTCTTAAGAGGATCCCAGACTTGCATTAAGCGAGTGGGATATATTGGTTTCGTTGTGCTCTTGGAGTAAGACGATGAAACAATGAAATCATTTTCTGAATTTCATAAATAAGGTTTTATTTATTTTGCGCACTATTTACAAACATTAAGGTCCGGATCAAATTGTGGAGTATATGATCATATGGATACGTTCATGGAGGACATGATCATAGGTTCTCACAATTGATGAATAGATTCACAGTTGTTAATAAAGTTGGGCACTTTATTTAGGCTGCAATATTTGATGAAATAGTTTTGTCCGAATCATTGTAAAATATTGGTGTGAATTAATATTCACATTGAAAGGATCAAAGTGAGATTTGATTAAAGTTGTTTTTCTGTCATAAGGTATCAAATCTACAGTTAACTATAGTTATGTAATTGCTCTTAATCCTGAGTTTATTATAAATAGGTAATCAAATAGTTTTCATTCTTTGATTTACCAACGGGTGATGTTCGATCTATTGACGGCCAATAACTCAGTATTTTGGGAGTGAGATTATTTCATTATCAGTATTTATGAGATAAACAACATGGAATTTGTAGGATATGTCCCCTTGATATGTTTCGATACTTGGATATAAAAGACACTGGCCAGTGCATGTAATCCATTAGAGAAACTATCATAGTCAAGGAAATAAATAATTGATTGAGTTACAGAAAACTTGTCAATCAATTACAGACATTCTACAAAGGGGTGATGCATATTCATGTTATAAGTGTTATTAATCTTGGAGTTCAAGTTAGGG